ACACACACACACACACACACACACACACACACACTTAAAACCATTCTCGGTTTGTCTTTCAGACAACAATGCTGGTCTCTCTCTGTTCCTGTTTTTTGTACACAGTTCAAAGTTAACCTACTTTTAAGCAGCTATAACTATTCTCATCTCACTAGTCTCACTGCCCTATTATCCCAGACTAAAATAGTAACACACCAACAGTCAAATCAAGAACACAACATTAAAATACATCATTTTTACATTCACAAAAGAAACTGTGAGTGAAAACCTGTGGATTTTATGGGTGATTGTACTTGCTAAGGTGTTTTTTTGCATAATGCTAGGTGATTAATAGGTTATTCTGGGTTGTTACTAGGGAAGGACTCATATCTAGAGACCAGAATATGACTGGAGGTGAATTTGGGGTGGACTTGGAACAGTAAACAACACTCAAAAGACCCTAGCATTGTGGTTTGTGAGCAGCATGGCGAGCGCCATTCACATTTTCTTCAGAAGATGTTAAATTCTAGTGTTTACTTTATTTAATTTTAAGAGATTTTACTGCTAGGTAGAGTGTTTGCACGTGTCTCAGGATTTTGGGTTTGATTCAGTTGTGATTCAGTCACTCCTTTTGATATATTTACGGTAGGAAATTTACTAAATATCTTCATGGAACATGATCTTTGATTTTTGGCATAAAAGAGAAATGGATAATTTTGACCCATACAATGTATTTTTGGCTATTGCTACAAATATACCCCAGCGACTTAAGACTGCTTTTGTGCTCCAGGGTCACATATTGTCTGACACAGCAGCATTTAAAGCTCAGTTTTAATAATCAGGCCAACATAAAATCTCACAATGGGGTCACAGACAAAAAGAAATCAAATCCTGGGTTATAAGACAAACATTTTTAATTAAGTAGGACTGCATGTGATTTTACCTTGATTAACCTGACCTGTTCTCTTTACCTGTACAGTGCTATTAATATAACATTTATCCCTCGTTTTCGGCTTCTAGCAGGTGAGGAGACTGATTGCGGGACAACTAAGATGGGGTGGGATAAGGATTTTAAGAATTAAAAGCTACCTGCTGGACATAATGCACTGTCAATAAATCAGTCCGATGGCCTCAATCTCCTAAAACTCCACTTAACTAAAAAAAAAAAAAGGGCTGTTCCATGTTGTTACGGTGGATTTGTTTTCGCTTAATAATTTTAGTATCAATTTAGTAAATGGTCCATTGAGAAATGGCGGTCACGGTGCTCCTATTACATTCCAAATTATTTGTTGCCATTCCTAACCAAAAGTGGCACAAAGGATCACTTTCTTATGAATAAAAATATCTAAACATGCCAAATTGAAAATATTAATCACTATGCAACTGTTATCATCTACAGGTTTAATCTCTTTGTTGTAAAGGCCCGCTCACACCAAGAATGATAACTATAAAGATAACGTTAAAACATTAATGTCTACACAAATGTGCAATAATGTTGTGTTTATTATAAGTGTGTACTGCAGTTCTGTCATCTGCCGCTTTAAATTCTCAGGCTCTTTATAGTCGGGTGGATTCTGATTGGCTGTCAGTGTTTTTATCATTCATCAACTGGAAAAAAATATATATCCTGAAAGGGATTCCAATGATAATGTTCCTTTTGTTATAGATGCGGTGTGGACTTTACTAGTCTCATTGAATTAGAAAGAATATTAAATGCCATAGTTATGTTTATTGTTATGGTGAATGTGATGTAACTTGATGTTAAACTAATTTGGGTATTTGCTCTGGCTCTAAAATATGTTAGTGATTTCCATTTTACCTGATTATATGAATCCTTAGCATTCAAAAAAAGAAGCCTAATGTGGTATTTGTCATGATCGGACTGACTACTTACTGCAGACACGGTCTGAGCTCATGCAAACTAATCACTGAATTGTGAGAAACATGGACAATAGCTTGTGTTTTATTATGTGCATTTTATAGACTATGTTTCCTGTTCCAGAGAAACGCCAACTATCACATGACTGGAACTACTATTGTTTGTCCACGATCACGCACACACTATCTCATGCACTGTCACACACACATACACTGTAAGTGTCACTGATATGCCCTGTAAAAAAAAAAAAGAAACAGCTGCCATACCTTTACAACCACATACACACACACACACACACACACATGCAGACATGCAAATAAACACAAGCATGGCATGTGCTGTTGGACTTCAAAGGCTACAGGGAGCTGTGTATGAAGCTCAGGGGTAACCGAAAACCTAGTAATGGTGCAAGAAGAAAATAGGTGTGAGTGTGTGCGTGGTAAATGTAAAGACATTTGTATAAGATCATGTTTACTTTGATCATTGCAACCGAACCCATTAACACACTAAGCCTTCGGTTTATTTAGCAGAGGATTCTGGGTTTCACCAGCTTAAATCACAGCTAAATCCAGTGTTCTTTATGTATATTTACCCTTTGATCTGTGGAAGTACAGTGATATATGGTAACATTTTTGTTGGTATGCCATAGCTGTTCTGGACGATTTCTAGGGCATTTCTAGGTGGTTGCTAGGGCTG